GTTAAGTAAGATGTTTAATGGTGTAAGAGCATCAAACATTGGATCACTACTTATATGAGAAACAAGAGGGTCGTGCCACATCACTATCATCATGAAGACGGACTAATGCTCGAGGCTACAATAAATATAAGATAGTAACTTTGTATTTACTTTCCTTTAACTATTTGTAGTCATAATAGATGTTCGCCATTAATTCACTTGTAATTTTTATAACTAGCATGCCAATGATCAAGTAAATCAAGGAACTAAATATATACGTATACGCACTTTTTCAAATATTGTATAGGTAATTCATAGATTCTACTAGAATGAGCCTGAACAATAGACGATAGTAAGAAAAACTCATCAAAGAGTGGTCATCCTCAATCATTGTTACTTGATAGCACAAGGATTTAACTCAACTTGGCAAAGCAATTTGAGGAAAATTGCTTCTCATATCATAAATCCTTAAGATTGTACAAAATACTCCTTGGAATTGGATCCCTCTTGTGGGGGGCACTCTCTCAAAGTGAATCACCAACACTTTGTTCGTTGAGCCCTCAATGGAATTCACCAACCTGGCCACAAAGAAGGATCACTCCAAGATAAATGAAAACTCGCTTCCTCATACTCAACCAACCAAAAAGTTCTTTGTTATTATAATTCAAATATACTTGCCGTTCGTACTGAAATGGCTAAAAAAACTAACCCGAGAGGTTGCCAGCACTACCACCAAAAGAATCATTAATGAGAGTCTTTTTAGCTCAAACCACTTGAGTACTATGCTTTATCAACTTGCTTATACACGCTCAATAATCCCACGTTTAGAGAGTTAGGTCAACGAATACAAATCATATCAAGTGCCATCAGAGCAAGGCATGCCCAAAGTAATTTGTAATAGATCTCATTTATTGTTATATCTTTTATCTTTTTTAATATAACATTTCTTGTAACTCTCAAATATCAATAAATAAATGACTGATGTAGTTTTTTTATTGTTTAGCACATTTTAGAAGTTATACTGAGCTAGTTAAATGCTTTACTCCCAAAAAAAAATCTTTTTTCCATACTAAGTACAAACTCTCAAGTTTAAGTCTACTGTGCTTGTAAGATCGATTATCCCCATAAAGAAATTTGAATCCAACATTTATAATCATCAACTAGTAAAATTACTTCCCAAAACTTTCGTAAAAGAGGCAATTTTATCATTAGCAAGCTCTAGGTGGCAACTTTGTAGCCTACAGAAGGCAAGGCTTTTTTTAACTAAATATCGTTTAAGTTATAATTAAGAGATTAATCATCGGAAAAAAAAAATTTAAAACTTGCTAAAGTCGCCCGTGAAACAGGCGAATTTTCTATTTAAGATATGCCGCCCGTTAAACGGGCGACATATATATAAATATTTTTTTAAAATTAATCTATATTTATAATTATGTTTACACTTCGTTATATTTATAAAAGATTTGTTAAAATACGAGTTAAATGTGTAATTCTTATGGACATTGTATTCCTCTTTAACAAATAATTAATATTCAGTTGTTGTGGACATTAGATTCCTCAGATAGCCTGTGACATTTAGAGCATATAATCCTTATAATATCTTATTTAATGTGAAGTGACATTTCATGTAGCTTGCAATAGCCTATCCCATCAAATTGCTTGTAAAGTTGTAAGGTCCATTCAAGTAATAATGTGTTATATGGCTACAAGTTATGGTTCAATATCTTTAATCACTATTATTTAAACGGTGCATAGAAGAGACGTGAACTATATTTATTGAGTTGGTACTTGAGTTATTCACAATATTTTAGCCATGTATGGAGAAGCTTAAAGGTGTCCCCAATAAAAAATGTTCGATGATACTAGTCGAAGAATGCATGTTTGCATAGCACAAACCCGTGACACTCCGTTGGAGTAGAAGGTGAATGATAATCAAATTTTTAGGTATTGTGTACATTAGTGGTTAGAAGAAGAGGATGATTGCCTTTGGAATATACATGCAAAGTTAATAAGGGAAAAATTATACAGGACAAGAGATTTCTTAAACGACGCTGGATGGAAATCTCTTGAAATTAAGTTCCAGGAAGAGAATTATCACCTTGTCAGCCCTCATTCCTTATAGATGTGGTACCATGAGATGAAAAGTCATAAAGATGGTTATTATCCCCCGCCAGATATTGATTGCAACTGTCTTGAAATGAAGCATGTCATTTTATATCATGGTTGGTGTTCGAGGTTTGACCATTTTATCCTGGATTTCTATAAAGATCGAATGAGGGAGTTATTACCTCATGGTAACCATAGCCAGTTTTTCAATGTTGAGGATTGGTAAGACCTGTAATATGAGTTGGAGTTCCATCTAAAATGTGGTCCGACTCAAACACAGCTCCAATCATGTTTGCATATGCTTCCTAGGAATTAAAAAATCTATGTTTTTGTTTAAATTTAGTATGAAGCATGTCTACATATTTTACGTTATTATGGTTGTGTATGTTAAACTTTGTTAAGTGTGTTATTTTGCTAAAATTCATGTTGTTGTGGATGTTTATTAATATATATGGATGTGTATGTTTATGTCTACTAGAAAGTAATATTTTAATTTAACTCGCTAATCATCTAGTATAGTGAAGACTATATCATTTCAAAGAAATTAAACTCTTAAAGGCAACAACATATAAAATACAAATAGAACATCAACTAGTTTGTTTTAATGATAGTAGCATAATAAAATACATAAAATCACAAAATCAAACTAAAGCAACCAAAAGATACATGGTACAAAACACTAATGCATCCTCTTATGTCTATGTGGTATCGCATCAGTGTCTGGAGTGAAATGTTGCGGTGCTCATAGTGGCCTGGTACGTAGATGTTGTTGCTCCTGACTACCAATATTTGGCTGAGTAACTGGGGCCTCGCCTAAAAAAGAAGGTATGAACTGAGGTATGGAGGCGGTGTCAAAGTTTGCTTTGAAGTGGCTCTGAGAGGGACCCAATTTTGGATAGCTGGATGGCCCAACATCATATGAATTTGCAATCAAAACGGGTAGCTAAACAATATATGTTGAATATTTATCTCGTCATAATAATGAGCATCATCAATGCATATATGTTGGTGCAGTCTCTGGCATATGTCTCCTACAATGTTCACGTCCACCAGCATGAGTGTCTCCTTAGTCACCCCAAAGTATGGTTACAATCTCCTCTCCATATTCATGATAAAATCTCGTTGCACATATTAGTAATTTAGCTTAAGTTTATCATAAAATTAAATTTAATGCTTCTTATATAACTTTAGCTTACCATGTGACGTTCAACTGGTGATTTGAGATAGTATGTAGTCGGAGGGTCCACAGGGGCCTTTAGTATGTATAGTGTCGCCCAAGAACAAAACCATGCTATGTACTGTTTCACTTTGTAATCATAGTTCAACCCATGAATCTCTCTTGTAACAATGTATCCTCTCCTGCTCTCCTATAGTACAATACTTGACTGGTGGTACAAAGCCCACTATGTATCTACCTTACCACATCCATCAACTCTAACAAAACTAAGATCCATTCGCATGATATCGGTGGACGAGCAATATCCAAACTGCCATAGTACTCGATCAGGAAAATGCCACTTTACCCTTTTCAAACTGTAAGGAACTCTAGAGAGCCAAATGTCCTGACCTGAAGTGCATAGCTCTGGAACTTATGTATGAATCTCTGTGGTGTACGATTCCCATATTACCCGTGTCATTAAAGATAGTATAATATACTCTTCACAAAATCCAACTAATATGAATAAAATTTATAAATATAAATATACTTAACATATCTGACTCTTAAGTCATCCAACTCATCCATGTATGTCAAAATATTCCCTACATGTACCTCTCGTAGTCATTCCTCATTCCAACTAATTCATGTGTATTAACATTTTAGTAATAACAATAAAAATTCTTAATATAAATAAGACTAATTACTTGATGTCAACACAAAAAATATCAAGCTGAATTGAAAATGGGATATGAAGTTGAGGTCTCCCAACATGTAGATGCTCCCAAGCCCATATTTGCAGCAAGTGGATGCAGGCTGCTATGTTGGCCCATTCAGGCATAGTTGCTTCAGACAGCTCCTTATATAAATGTCTAGAATTGCACCTTCAAGTGAGTATGTCCAGAATATCGCTATGTCCTCCATCAGTGGCAAGTACTGCCAATGAATTTTTTAGCCTGAAGTATCTAGTAGCATGTGACATCCAAGCAAAAATAAAATATAAGCCCGAATATGTCTCTAAAAATCCATCTCATAAAGATCTATGCATGAGTCCCTCCAAAAGGTCCACCTTAACCATCTCAATGGAACACATGTCTACGCATGCGCCTGACCCATCCTGAAGTTTTTTGAAATTCATGGGTTGAAAGGGTCATGGTACAAAACATCAAGGTCTGGATGCTGCCCGAGTAAATCATTATAGTAATCTAGCCAACTCAACTATCGTCTGCCTACACCTACAACTGGGTGGCCAACAAAAGTATGTCCATCAATATGTATCTCTAGTATCATTGAAACATCCTACAATGTGATATTCATTTCACCATCTTGGAGGTGAATAGTATTTATTTGTGGCGACCACCACTCAACCAGAGCAGTAAGTGGTGGTCCATCCTCCTATACCTCATCTGGCTCGCACTGTCCAAGCCCATAAAAACCAAAGCCTTCATGAATTTAGGACAGTTGATGGGCCACTCATGCACCATCAACAAGTATGAAGCAGCCTCCATTATAGTACCCTGTAACAAATAATAGTATTACTGCATATCATAATCAATTGAGAGAAGTATTTTTTAATAAACTAATTCTTAATTTATTTAAATTTACGTGCTCAGGATGAGATGCTCAGTGGTTACCAACAAGTGAACAAATGCTAGGATGGTTGGTATGTACAGGTGGTTATGCGGGTGCCTCCACACAGGTAGGGCACTTGTGGCGCCTACATCCTCTATCTTGTTCGGCTTCCATGATACCTCGTAAGAAAAGAAATATTAGGCACGTATAAAAAAATTGAAATATTCATGACATTTACAAAAACATAATAAGTTAAATTACCAAGAAAAAGCATACAAATTATATAAAATAATAACATTTATTATGAAATTATATGAGAAATCATTACCATCACAACCAAATAATACATTCAAGTGAAAAAAAAAAAACGGATGACTTCTACAAATTAATCACATGTACAAACAATTGTGGTGTAAACAAATTGCGGTATCATTTCTACAAATTAAACACATTTCATAACAAAAAATATCAAAAGTCATCACATGTAAAAAAAAATTCTTACTTTTACAAATAAATTGAATTTGCTAACTAACAAAAGGAAAAATCATTATATTTATAAAATAAATATTATGCACACCTAGTAAGACAAGTGGCCCTGTTATGTCCTACTGAACTACATGCAATAGATTGCATATTGCATCTAACTCTGCCCTCGTTCATTGTGATCCTAAAATGATTTGTTCTAAGTCTCTAGTACGACTTCTAAAATTTGGGGGAATGAGTGGGTGTATGCCACGTGTTGGATCATATTGTGCCCAACTATATCGATTTGGAATGTTATGAAATTAACCAGCATATGTCATTTTGCAATTGTCTAAGCTGTTGTATTATGAGATGTGATTCTGATGACGTTGCTTGAGCATTGAAATACAATGCACTACGGGTGCACACATGAAATGATATATAATGCTCTTCCAACAACTACAAATGCAATTTTTATCATTAATTAAATCAACCCTGAAAGACTGAGATTATGTGTCAACTACTTGGAACTCAGGCATATTGATTCGAATGGGTTGTGGTAACCTACGTGCTTCCTGCTTGATATTTCGTAGTGCGGCTTGTACTCTTGGTGCGAAGGGACTAGTAGCATGAAGTTCAGAACCCTCTACCATTTCTGTTCTTCGCAAGTGCAATGCCACTACGTTATAGTAAATGGCTATAACCAATGCTTGAATGAGCAAACCACTAGCTCTTTTAAGAACTCCATTGAATGACTCTGACGCATTAGTTGTCATAACTCCATAATGATATCCACCATAATAGATTAGAGCCCTGACCTAACATCACGCTCAACCAACCACCGGTGAATATCAGCCTTTACCTTTATCATATCTATCATGCACCTATCAAAGACCATTGGGTCATCAGTGTTCCCTGCCATGTAAGTCTTATGGCATAGAAACTCTACGTTAGCAACACTTATCTGACGCACTGCTTTCTTAAAGTTCTCACATAGGTAGCATAGATAGAGGTGATGTGCAACATTAGAAAAAATTTCATGACAACCATGCACATAACCAGCATGCCTGTCGGATATAATGCATAAATCAGTTCGGGTACGAACAACCGAAATGAGTATATGCATTTGGTTCAGAAATCACACCCATAAATCAACACATTCTGACTCTACAATCGCGAAGGCGAGGGGCTACAATCCGTTGTTAGTATCAATTCCCACAACGCTAAGTAAAGTGCATCGATATTTACCTAGTAAGAATGTCCCATCAAGGAAAAGAACATAACGATAGTAGATCCACTCATTTATCGAAGGGCCAAACAAGAAAAATAATATCTCAATCTATGATTCTCAAACGTTTGTATCGTATAGATGGTTTCAGGCATCAAACACACAACAACGCTCATGAATAAATTAATGATTCAATAAGACTCCTAGCTACCAGACACTATCTTCACAGCTTTTCGTCAGGCATCCCAACCTTTCATATACGAAACCTTTTATGTTGAACTTCGCTTCAATTTGGCCTATAATCTCCTGCATCTTGAGATCCATATATCTTATAATAGTGGGTGATATGAAGTAACTTATAAAGTGAGGATTGCATTGTCGGTGTCCTATTGCTAGAATCGAAGTTGTGCAGGTATGTTGGTTCTTCATGGAAAATATTTTCCATATGCATCCAAGACGTTCGCTCACTCCTGCATGCAAACGCCATATACATGGTACGTCTGACCTGCCATTCTGAGCACAAACCATTGTCATTTTTCTGTTTGAAGCTATGACGGCACATTCCACATTATTTATAATTGATAAATCATATAATGCAAACTGAAGATCCTCTTTCTTACTAAAACACATGCCATCCATCAACCTATTGAAATTAAAAAATTTTCCTCGACTTGGTTACCAATATATTCACTGTTATTTCCTACATCCTCATCTCATTCACAAGTGGTGAAATATGCCTTCATAAACTCATTGTTTACTGTTATGCTTTCTAAAGTGCTAATATTTATGTAATAATAACGTTGAACCATACTATGAATCTCAATGTTCATATCAACATTCACTTCATCTAAATGATATTGTACATCATCATCACCATTACCAAGAGTCATCACCATTATCAAGAGTCGTTCGATACACTGCTCATCATTTCATAATCATCATCAACATTGACCGATGGTCTCTTAGAAGTCTAATGCATCCTGGAAAAAAAATTTCGCCATTCACTTCATCACATAAATGATATTTTGTTAATAAAGGCGAATTTTTCAGACAATTATACTTTATTTAATATGCATTTAAATTAAAAAAAAAAACTTACTTAGCATATTGCAACACAAAACTTGGATTTCTCAAATGACTTTCTATCACCCCGTAGAAAGTAAATATCTCATGCACTTGAGATATTATTTGCTCAACAACTAAATTTTGTATGCTAATATCTTCAACCTCTACATAAAATAAAAGTATATGCCCAATTGCAAGCGATAACATCATCTGACACACCTCATCACCCTCCACAGACGAAGCTATGAATTCATTCCCTAACGGTAGACGACAAACCAAGTTCAGTGTGTACTTCGACGTATCATATTCAAGGGCTTACAGGGCCCTAATCTTCACTAGATCTAAGTTCGTCTAAACAGTCACTTGCAAGGGCCAGTAACTCCCCGCAACATATGTTAGTGAATATTTATCATCTAAAGACAATAGTCCACCATACATAAGAACAAACAACTCTCCGCGTCCAGACATTGTTGTGCTACTACATATCGCTTATGATAACCTACAATTAAACTAACAACCTTAGCTCAAAGAAATGAAACAATCAAAGCATTTATCTAAATAATCTTATATATAATACCTTATTTAAAAATAATTTTTAAGTAAATTTAACCAAATAAATTTAAAAAAAAAACATATTATTTTCCAAAGTAATAGCTCATTCACCAAATTATTTCTAAGATTCACAAATATATATACCTTAGCTCTAAAAGTTCAGCTCTTTTATCCACAAAAAATAGCTCTTTCACTAATACTAAATGCTCAAAAATAGCTCACCAAAAATTTCTTTCACAAAAATATCAAAACGTTACCTCAAAGAAATGAAACAATCAGAACATGTTTTCATCTCCTACTTATACATTACAAATAAAAAATACCACATCATTCCTTTCTTCCTATTTCGCCATACAAAAATCCCATATTTTAACATTCACTAACATTACATAAAACAACTTAATCAAGCTTAAACTTCAAAAAATATCCACACAAACTAAGCATGATACAAAAGGAAAATCATTTCAAAACCCAAAATTAAAAATAAAAAAAAAATTACCTAGCTCTCAAGGATCGCTAGATTTTGCAAGTAACTAAACGCACGAACCAATTTTTCGCGACTAGGGCATGGGAAATGGGGAGTCACCGGGTTGGTCAAGTAGCAAGGGTAAGTTGCCCGTTTAACGGGCAACTTTGGAGATTTTTTTTTTTTTGTTTTTTTTTTTTGTTGGTTAATCCCTTAATTAAAACTTAAACAACGTTTAATTCAAGTCTACAGTGCTAATAAGATCGATTATCCCCCTCATATAGAAATTTGAATCCAAGATTTATAATCACCAGCTAGTAAAATTACTTCCCGAAACTTTCGTAAAAGAGGCAATTTTATCATTAGTAGTAGCCACCCAAGGCAGTGGGTTATTTCAGCTGATTTTTATTCCGGTCATGCACTAAGTTTGTGTGCCCTATGAAACTCTATTGCTCAGTCAAGCCTTAACCATAACTAGGGCATATCCTCAAACCAAAACCCAACCTGAAAAATTTTCAACTTCATCAAAATAAAAGAAATGGATTCATACGCACAACAGATAGAACAGGTCATTTCAGGTTAACTATGATCAATCGGAGGTTTCTTTCAGCTTAGATGATGTGATATAATAGGAAAAATCTCATAATCCTCCATGGATGAAGACTAATATTATCGAAAAGAATTCATAATCTACATTTATTGAACAGTAATAAAAGGAAAACATTCAACTCACTGGAACCAACTCTTTAATCCAGACAAGCAAATGGATGAGATTTGTACAAGGACGAAACTTCTTTCTGCCAAAATAGCTAAAGCTGGAGTTCTTCATTTCTGTCCATTTCTTGCTGAACTTCTAAATCGATAAAAACAAATACCTGGAAGGTTCACTTGAGTGATTCCCAAAGCACTCCAAGATCAACATTACCTCCAGAGAGAACGATCGATATTTTCCTCATGTCCTTCCAATAAGGCTTCTGCTTACACTGATCAGAGAGAATAGCAGCAAGGCCAATGGCTCCACTTGGCTCCACAGCCAACTTAAGAACCTCGTAGCAAAGCCTCATGGCTTTTATAATCTCATTTTCATCTAAAACGACAATATCATCCACTAAATCACGGACCACTGGCCTGAACACTTTGCAACAAACACAAATCAACAAAGAAAACAAGAATATTTCTATGACTGGATAACCAGGCTTGATAATTTTAACGGTCTTTATTATTTTGATTATATTTTTAAGTAAATAAATGCTGTCAAAATATATATACAAAATTATACATTTCATTTATAAATTAGGATATTATATAAG